TTCTGATGGCTACTATTTCCATGGCTAGTCGTAGCATCCGAAAGAGCATGAGGTTCAGGCTTCTTAGTAATAGTAGCATCATGTTGTCTCCTAGGCTTCTTAGCCGTTACTGTACCACCATCACTTATCCTAGAATCTACTCTAGGTCCAGTTATATAATTTACCCTAACTGAAGGGTTCCGAAAATAAGCTTTATTCCGTTCAGACAATCCTGCCTGGGTCTTATTCATATTTGCTGAACTCATTAACCTCTGATTACTCGAATCCAAATAACCGTTCCAGGCTTTTCGAGCAGCTAAGAGGCTTTTATCATCACACACTTCGGATCCATCTTGATGCCTACACTTTTCACCTTTTTCTTTCTTTTCTATACTTAGAAAAGCCATCTTATCTGTTACACCAACCGGCTTCTTGCTAGGACACGCATCAAGAGGCTTTACATCGTTACGGTCACATACTCGTCCTTCATCAGCGTATGCTTTCGTGATATAATTGACAACTCTCTTATCTTCCGAGCGTGCTTTAGGTAGAAACGAAAAATCCGAATGTCTCGCACGCAGACCACTAGTAGCTTCCGTATTATTTCCTGTTTTAGCCTGATAAGCTAATCTTCCAAACCTACTACTAGCTATCTTAGCACGAGACATAATAAATTCCGTCAATTCATTGAAACTAGGCTCTCTCTCCTCTTCGTCCCACTTGATTACTAGCTCTGCCCACTGGGCTTGCATTCGACGAGGTAAGAGCCTGACTATTCGTTCTAAAGTATCCATGGAATTAAGTTCCGTTGTGCAATTGAGCTGTTCTAAAGTTAAAGCAGCATTCTGTATTTTAATAGCCAAGTTCGTCAATGATTCAGGATCATTAAATTCTACATTCCCAGTTCTAAATAAGTCCTCTAAGGTTTCTCGCGCTATTACATGCGACTGTCCAAAGAGCTGTTTTAGAATGGCCTTAGCTCTCTTATATCCTGCTTGTGGATCCATAATAATACAGCCTTCAATCGCATTTTTTGCTTTTCCCTTACAATAATGAATTAAATACAATAAACGCACTTGATCATCCTTTATTCGAGGTTCTATAAACGTTTCTATTTGTCGTATGAACCTAAAATAGTCGCGAGACCTTCCATCAAAAAATGAGAGTTCAACCTTAGGTAGTTCTAAACCCTCTATCGATGACTTACAATAATAAATATCAGACATAGCATGTGGGTTACCATAAAAAAGTTATCATTAACGACTTGCCTAGAGCCCTGTGATCCGTCGAGCTCTTCCACCCTCCTCATGTGTGATTTTTTTCTGTTTGACATCATAAGTGAAGTTCAATAAAAAAGGTAGCAATACAAAATAGTAATTCCACAGTTCAGTTCAAAAATACGATAAATAGTTCAAGCTTCTTCCTCCAAGAAAGTTTAGTGTGATAACGACTAAAATTCCAAATGTTTCTTTATAATTCTTAATAATCCGAATAGTTCCAAAATATATACGTTCAGATGAATATTTTCAAAGTATAATCCACGATAGAAGAAAATTCCAGACTGTAAATTTATTTCGACAGTGGCCGTCCCAATTGTTTCCAATAGAAACACTCCTGTACGTTTTTCCTAGTCCCGGGTCCCAACCAATGCAAAAAAGGACAAAATTCTAGGAGAAAACGTCTCTGTATTATTAGAAAATGGAAATACAAAGCCTTACGGAATTTGTGTTTCTTCCAGGGTTAAGTTACTCCGCAGAGTATCCAACACAATAACCAATAAGTGAAGCTAAGTCCAGCAGCCACTGCGTCCGTCCGAAAATGTGGCGGTAGCCATATTATATCAAATTTAAACAATATATGTACAGTTCAGAAGCAAACCCAAAAACTTCAATATAAGTACAAATATAGAAAGAATAACAATATACAATGATAAAATCTCAAATTGGAATCAAATAAAATACCAAAAATGTCAAGAGAAAAAGTCCATCATGTCATAGCAAAAATATGTAAACATGGAGGGATTTTCCAAAAACACAAAACATTCAAAAAGAATTCTACACATGGCTGTATGGACCACATTTTTACTCTACGACAGGTCCTAGAACAAAGACACGTTCAGACGTAAGGGAACAATATTATCTCCAAACCTTCAGCGGCATTCGACTCCGCTAACTGTGAGGTTCTTTGGCAGCGTCTGGCATCAAAAGGTGTATCAAGAAAGTACATTAACTTTATACAAGCTCTCTACTTGAACACGATTGGTCGAGTAAGAGCTCATGGCGAACTGTCATCGAAATTCATCACTTCAAGTGGTGTCCGTCAGAGATGTCCACTTTCCCATTCTTGTCTAATTTTGTCATAGACATGCTCCTAGAGAAAACCTAATCCTCGTCTGAATTTTTAGGAGTGAACCTTTTACCAGGAGACACGTTTGCTGACTTAGAGTATGCTGATGACATGGTTTTACTCGGTGAAGACGCTGACAAAATGCAGTCTTCTGACGACCCTAAGCAACAATGAAAGCATGTTCGGTATGTGATTTCCCCCCTCGAAATGCAAAATTTTGCTTCACGATTAGGTTGCATCGGCACCTGAACTAGTGATAGGGAGTGAAGCAGTTGAGTGTTTGGACCGCTTCACTTATCTTGGGAGTTTCATCAGTGCTGATGGCCTGGTGACTGACGAAATCTCAGCACGGATACAGAAAGCTCGATTGGCTTTTTCCAACTTGCGTCACCACCGACTGCCTGGACGAGCTATGTTTTGTGGTGTATCAGGTGGTTGGAAGAAAACTAGGGGCAGCCAAGCCAAAACAGTGCTGAAATCCATGAAGCCACTGATAAGTGTACTGAGTCTTGTTGATAGAAATCGACTATCAGGTCGGGTTCCGCTAGACAAAAATCACTGATATTTAGAGACCTTGAACGACGTGGCTCAAAATCGTTTGCAATAGCGCAGGCGCATTCTTTCATTGTGTTCTCACAAATTCTAACCTTCTGAATTCCTCACCATCTCTTTCTCTTTCTAAATTTCCCTCACTGGATTATACTTCTTCAATAAAGTCCTCCAACTGTAGTCTCTCCGATTACTGTTAGTACTTCTAGTACTACGGGATTTTAAATGTTCAGCGGCATGTGACCTGTTCAGGCATTCACTGGAGGCACACCAACCCCAAGCTGAATGGAAACAAGCGACTCTCTCTCCCATCTTCAAAGAAGGAGATAGAAAGGACCCAGCCTGTTACAGACCATTCGCACTACTACCAATACTATCAAAGGTTATGGAAGGGCCGGTGAATGAACAAATGAGGGAGTACATGGATAAGAATAAAATACTCCATGAAGCTCAACACGGGTTTCGGAAAGGCAGGTCGTGTGCATCTAATCTTCTCATCGCATGGGACAGTTGGTCATCCTGTTTGGACCGTAAAATACCGGAGCACGTAATATTTCTCGACTTTGCAAAAGCCTTTGACACAGTACCCCGTTCACGCCCTAATCGAAAAGGTTGTGGAAATTGGCTTCACTGACCTACTCCTATCTTGGCTCAGAAACTACATTGAGAATAGAAAGTTTCGCACCAAGCTGAATAGAGTGCACGGGAGCTGGAGAGTACCCACATCGAGAGTTTCACTGGGGACCATCCTAGGCCCACTTCTCGTCCTGATATTAATTAACGACCTGTTAGCTCACCGGTATTGATCTATGCAGACGATGCGAAGATCTGGAGGTCTATTATAAGCGAAGAGGATTCGACTGAGCTTCAAGAGGACCTTACATCTATTGAGAAATGGGCGGTGAAAAACGGTTTAAAACTCAACCAACCAATGTTCCACGTCGTGGATATTCTGCCTCACACGACGCAAACGATCTATACCCTGAATGGAATTCCGCTCCCTATTGTCTCCTCAGAGTGCGATCTCGGTTTAATAACCACAGAAAGCCCCCACACGAATCCGAACTATGTAGGGGATGCAGCCAAGGCAAATGCGACTCTTCACTTTACGCGAAGACAACTTGGTGCTATCACCCAGCAATTACTTTGAACCCTATTTAAGAAGTACGCGCGCCCACACTTGGAGGTTCACAATGTCATCGCACACGCTCTGCATAAAAGAGACATAAATCTCTTGGATCGAGTGCAGAGACGAACAACCAAATGGGTGATAGGGTTAAAAAATAAACCCTACGACGATAGACCCCAGCTCTTAGGATCATTTCCACTGAGGTAAAGGAGAATCAGAGGCGATCTGATTATGGCATACAACATATTAAGCACGCCTAACCATCCCAACGTGAGCATCCTACCGATGCATCACCACCACTCCTCTCGAGGCAATCCTCGAAAAATTGCACATCAAAGAGCGAATACTCAGGTTCGTGCACACTTTTTCTCATTGCGAGTAGTCGCAACTTGGAATGCTCTCCCAGACGAGGTCACCGCAGCCCCCTCGGTGGACTGCTTTAAGAAGTGACTTGATAATCACACGGACTATCATCTCCCTTTTGGACAAGCTGTGCCTGATGCATATCTTGAGACCTGCTAGTTGTCCTCATTGCCATCTCCTCAGATCACTCAATTATTCTATCTCGTTAATTAACTTTGTTTCCTCTCCCTTGCTTACACTACGGTCCTCTCTCACAATCTTCACTACCAATTAACAAAATAAATTCATCGATATATTACTCAGTTCTGAAATTATATTCATATTATCATTAGAATTTTATCCTTATTATCCTTATTACTCTTCACATTGCAACTAACTGATCTCTGGTCTGGTAATATGATAACTACTGGTATCCAGAAACCCTACTACCCTGAAACAAACGTTTTCATTCAAATCCCGAGACCTACCAACTCACAACCAACTGCCAACTGACTAGAATTAGACAGTCGAGTGGCTAGACCTCCATCCATTGGACATTACCGAACACCTGGAACCGTACCGAAAGAACAAGAATCGAGCGCAAAGAAATCAATTGGTTTACACTAGCTCGTGAAAAAGATATTGGATATTGGAGGCTGTGTGTAGTGCGCTATGTATGACATGTACGCTTCGTTTGCGTTGTGTGTATTTTTGAGTATCATTCATTTATTGTTCATTCACTATTCGCATAGTATTTGTAAAATGTCAGAAAATAAGTTGCACATAGGGCAATCGGCTAGCTTTGGTTCATCAGACAGTATCATAAAATATTATGTGGAAGTTGGAGCATTAACAAGCAAAAACAAGTAGGAAAATAGAGGTGTATTGTAAAGTGAAAATAAGCGACATTGGCTTAAAAACCTTTTTATCATCTTAGGCGAATTCGAAACCAATAATCGTATATTCCGTCGACGACGAGAAAGTGAAATAGCGCTAAATGTTCGTCTTGAGGCATGAGCAACTCTTTAAAATACTCGTTTTGGAAACAAAGTTTAGAATACAAAATACTCTGATAGGGCGGTATCAAAGTTTGAAAATTCAATAATTTGTGGTATATAAATATTTAGGCGCTATTTTGTGCCTATGTTTATGCGTTTAAATGAGTAAACAGTATTAACTAACTTCTATACATTTACTAAATCCGTCCTTATTCCATAAAACTTAGCTGAAGTTGGCGTTTAAACCAGGAATACTTTGATTGATAGATGTGGGACGACATCTATCAGTTAAGTGTTAGTCTTCCTCTTTAAATTTCGACGCTATCTCGATCAGACTACAAACAGTCCAGCATGCTTTAGGCAGGGTTTCTGGAATATTTAGAAAAGCACGTAATGTTTTTAGTATTCATCACAACAAGTATTTTTTAAAAATCCTATCACTTATCAAATCTGCTCACCTATGCCACTAATATTATTTTTTCTGCTAAATAGTTTCAACTAGTAATTATTCAGTGACGCGAAAAGTTCGTGCAACAACTTGAAATATATTTCTCAAAGTATTAACTTCATTTGTGTAGGACGTAATGGGTGATTAGATATAGCACGTCATATAAAATCTAACATGTGGTACGATATCTTTGCCTAAGCATTTGGTGACTGTATGGTATAGACATAACATTCCTTCAGAGTAATACTGCCATTCCTGTTACTCATGTTAATAAGCAAAGATGTTTCATTCAAATCATGCAAACAAACCAGTGAGAAACGTAAAAATCCATGATGCAAATATCAAAATCGATTAAGAATTAATGTTATGATTAGGTGTGTTACGTCTAGGGTTTCTATCACGAAGTGAAATCAGCTACAATACAGCACTCTTATAACATTATCCCTGTACTGATTCCTAGAATAATAAATCATCCATCTATCCTTGCCGTTTTCTAGTTGCCCAATATAGTTAACACCTTAATATTGTTCAGCTGTGCACTTTAGGTTTACCATAAAAATGTTTTCTTTTAGTAGGCTAATTTTATAAAATTTCATCAAAACTCATAAACATTGGCACAAAGGAGCACCTAAATATTTATACACCTTTCACCTAAAGTTCTAATTCACAAGGCAGTAAAACGTCAGGAGATGCAATCTCATGGTAGTTGGTCACCAAAAGTAGGTTCAAACATCATCTGTTCCTTCAGGATCCTAGAGCCCGTATCCAGAACTCGTTTAAAATCAGGATTTTCTGACTTTTGTAGATGAATTCTGCGTACATAGCAATTCGATTAAAGCACCACACACTCGCTTTTCATCCTTGATTTCGTGGATAACCCCCTCAACACGAGAAATCAGTGAGTAGGTTTTCCCTGGTAGCGGCTATTAACCTGTAGTCATGTAAGAGCGTTTCGAGAGACGAATTGGATTCTCCCCAGTCTCAGCTGTACCAGCTTAATTATTGCCTTGATTTGCTGATTCATCAACCAAATGGTGGTGCTTGGCTTTGATTCTGTTGCAGACAGTTATAACACTATTTTCATTACCAACTTAGATAAGACAGTAATTTTTTGCATGTATCAGTCATAAACATCATTCAATTTGTCATTTAATTTGCTTCTGTGTTTTTTTTTCTGAATATATTTCCAATAGAGTATAGTCGAATAATCTACAGAAGATCCAGTTTATTTTTAACTCCAAGTTTTACCTTTTTAAAGTTATGATCATGACCGTCACCTGATTGATTATCAAATGGAATGGATGATGTACCATGTTGTTATTGTGCCTATGAAGTGCCTTTCCGTGGAGTGTCTTCAGAAAATCCTACAGGTCATTTGTTAACTGCTGTTAGAAATTCTGGAGAAAAACAATTGTTTGGAAAACCGTTAGATAAAATTTTTCGTTATGGATGTTTTGAAGTTACACACAATAAATTAACATTGTATGGCATTTTGAGTTTATCAAATTGGGAAGTTTTATTTGTACCATGTATTAATTTAAGTCAAATAAATGAAGAAGAAATTGATTCTATTCGGTTAGTTAATTAAAATTGTGTTTTAATAGTGTTTAATGTATGTCTTTCGTGCAATGCAGGTTTTACCCCATTGGGTTTTCATATGGTTTTTTTTACACGAGACTAATTACCAATGTACTATTAGGAAGTACTTTGTTTCTTAAACATTTGACTATAATTAGCTCATTGAACTACCTTATAAAAGACATTCATTGTGCTGGCTAACCACCGACTGCCTCGACGAGCTATGTTTTGTGGTGTAGGAATAGGTTGGAAGAAAGTTAGGGGCGGCCAAACCAAAACATGGCAGAAATCCATGAAGTCACTGACAAGTGGACTGAGTCATGTTGATAGATGTAGATTACCTGGTTGGGGTCCACGAGACGTAAGTCACCAACGGTTAGAGACCTTGAACGACATGGCTCAAAATCGTTTGCAATGGCGCAAGTGCATCCATCCGTTGAGCTCTTTCAAATCCTAATCTTCTGGATTCGTCAGCACCCCTACCTTTATCTTTCTAACCTTATCTCACTGAATTTTACTTCTTGAATAATATCTTCGAACCCTAGTCTTATTCATTATCATTAATACGTCTACTATCTTTATTACTATAGGATTTGATTTGACATTTGTGTCTCTGTGTTAATGTGGTATGGCAACATGAACTTGTGTACATACGTACAAAGTTCTACGTTGCAACTGACTGACTGACTGACATTCATTGTGCAAATTCAGAGCCGGTCAGAAAAGTACACATTTGGCTTCCCAAAACCTGTATGTTTTTAATAGTTATTTCTCAAGGCTATACTAGACCATTCTATCCAGACCCACACATCTCCCATTGAAAAGCCATTGGTATTGATAACAGTTAGATTGCTTAAATACTCTTCAGATTATATACAAGACGTTTCGCTTCTATTAGTAAAATTGACTACTGGTTGACCTAGAAAAACGGTCAGCAAATGTTTTTTTTATTTAGGACAAGTCAGGGACTAAAACTTGAGCTACATAAATGAAGCGATGAAATTTTTAAGAAAAGAAGTGAAAGGCTCTTACAGTCAATGAGTATATGAACGAGAATAATAACTAATAGGATATATAATTCAGTTGGAAATATATCCAGTTAAGTGAATTCAAGTAACTTTATGAGGGATGTAGTAAAAACTATAGCAGGACCGGCTTTGGTTTTTTTAGTCATGTCTGTAAACGTCCTCAGCCTCTGAGTTGCATGAACTCTAGGATCTAAACCAATGAACTAACACTTATTACCCATGTTCAGTTATCTATCATACCACGATGCTTTGTCACAACCACTTTTGTCGTTCAGCTCCATCGTCGGCAATAAAATCCGCTATTAAATCTTGATAACGATTGCATAAACTATATGCTACCCTGTAAAAGATAGGACTATTGGTTGCTTTGTCCTAGGAAAGTGGAAATCTTCGTCCCTGCAAATAACCCGATCATTTCCCTGACCAGAAATTTGCTGGTATCATTAAAAAGGACCAGGAGTGCATTGTCTGCACTTGGTAACCTAGACGCCCGACCTACCCTAATTAGCACCACAATATCTGTTAAACTCACTGAGACTATTTATTTGCGTCTGAGCTAATATCTGTTAATTCAGAAATGGGGATCATTAAACAACATAATTTCTCATATGCTATTGAAAGTAGCTTCCTTTAATGTCCTCACATTATGCAGATCAGACAACAAATAGGTGTCAGTGTGTCATTGGATAGTTTAAAATCGATATTTGCTGTGTATCTGAGACACATTTCCACAACTAGCGAATTACTATGTATTAATTTTCCATCTATCCATTCAAAGAGCTCACTTCATGTACTCTTAGCCGAGTACCCTGTATCATCTTTGTCCGGTTTGGTTTGCGTCGGTATCTCACTAAGCCACAGAGGAGAAGCAGCAACTGTCGATTATGCGCTGTTAAATTATACAGCTCCATCAAAGTCAGAAATCGATGTAGGAAGTGATGTCTGTTTGTTATCTCCACCAACACTGCAATAGATCGCAACCTGAGTGCAATCAGGATTAATTTCTAGAAACTTCGTTAAACAGATATTGTAGTGCTAGCCGGAGATTTGTATGCACAGATCGAGTGTCTGGGCACAGAAGAAAGTTGCTTAGGTGACCGAAAGGAACTCAATTTATCCAAAATACTGGCAGCAAGAAGTCTGGTGTGAGTGAAATAAACTGTAAAGTTGGTGGAACACCAATTCATAACACCCAGAGATTTATTGGATGATGGGACGAGGACTTCAATAGACAATATAGCTGGTCTGTTGTTCCAGTAACATCAATCAGACTGTCCTTTTCTCCCTGGTCAGCGACGAGTAGTCCACCTAACGACACAAAGGTCTAAATCGAATTCCAACTTCCGAAGCGCCAGAAGGAACCAAATACAAAAAACAAACCCGCAGCTCTTTTTACGTAGGATGGCAAACTTCTGATAAGAGAAGTGGCTGGATTCTTAGAAAAGGTTTGGAAAGTAAAGAGTGCTTCACCAGCCCTGAATTAAGCGACTATCGCCCTCTTCTGTCTAAAGGGCCTACATCGACTACGCAACAGCTATAAGAAGGATAAGTCTACTGATGATCGCATCCGAACTATTGACTTCCATCACATTTCATTGGTTGCTCAAAACCTGTGGAAGACTGCCTTGCGATTAGTTGGCTGGTCTTCGTTTTGGTCATACATGTATTGATTACATCTTCACTCCCCAACAATATCTAGACACCGTCATACCTATTATTTCCTGATTTCAGGACCACTTACGATTTGTTAAGAATGAATATGCTCTGGAATTGTCTGTAGAAAAACGATTTGTCTGAGTAGTTTATAACCATTCTGAAGGCTATATGTACAAAATCTCATGTACAGTAAGGGTAAACAACTACCTTTTTCTATTGGTATGGGGCGGCCAGACCAAAACATGGCAGAATTCCATTCGCTGACTAGTGGACTGAGTCATGTTGGTAGATGTAGACTACCTGGTTGAGGTCCGCGAGACGAAAGTCACCAATGGTTAGAGACCTTGAACGACATGGCTCAAAATCGTTTGCAATGGCGCAAGTGCATCCATTCTTTGAGCTCTCTCAAATCCTAATCTTCTGGATTCGTCAGCACCTCTACCTTTGTCTTTCTAACTTTATCTCACTGAATTATACTTCTTGAATAATATCTTCGAACCCTATTCTTCTTCATTACCATTAATACCTCTACTATCTTTATCACTATGGGATTTGATTTGACATTTGCGTCTCTGTGCTAATGTGGTATGGCAACATGAACTTATGTACATATGTACGAAGTTCTACGTTGCAACTGACCGACTGACTATTGTTCTGTTCAAGCAGTGTAGTTAGACAGGATCACCCAATCTCGTCACTCCTCTCCAACTCTGCCATTGATGACATCCTGAAAACAAATTTGATGTAACTAGGAAGTGGTAGTATGATTCTGCTACCTGGAAAAAGACTTTCTGATCTTGAGTATGCAAATGATATCGTTTTACTTTATCATACCGCTTAGGCTCTGCAATCCTACTTAACAAGTTGGCAATGAATTTCAGTAGGTACGACATATATTTTCCACCCTCTGAATTCAAAGTACTTCTGCAGAACTTGCAGAGGCCTATGCCTTCACTCATTTTTTCTGGTAATCTGTTAGAATAAATCAAAAGTTTGTGTATCTGGGTGATGCTAACGTGACCGATGAAATCAGTCTACGCATATTGACAGCTAGAATGGTCTATGGTAATCTGGTCCTATCCTTGACACTACCCTGATGTTAGTCTGGTTGTAAAAAATGAAAAATGTTTGACCTTTGCTTGTGAAAGTTGGCCTTTCCGAGTTGATGCTAGTCAACTATGTATTTGATCGACGTTGTCTCCGAAGGATTAGTGGCATTCACCAGCAACACCATGTGATTAATGCGAAAGTCCGGCAGGCAGTAGGAATTCATTGGCACAGCTGGTAATCACGTGGCTACGTGAGACTGCTCGGAAAGGTATAACATACTGTCTGCACTTTTAACTGTACTTGAGCATTTTGTGGAGTAAGGTAATACAGCTATCATGTAAGAAAATACTTGTGTTGTTGATTATCGTTTAAAAATTCCCTCATAGAAAGTTATTTGGTTCTTTAGATAATGACATTGTCAAAAATTACATAGTACTGACCATGTTGTCAACAATGCATGGGTTCTGGTTTACCATAAAACTGATTTTTTTTTCACGAATTGAAAACAGTTGCAACATATTGAAAGTCAGAAAACCACTGAACAGTTATCTCGTCTTAATTTAATATTCTGCACTAGGTATGCTCTAGACTAGTGAACAAACACTGAACGATTGAGGTAAAATATACACTAGAATTTATAATCAAGAGTAACTGAATCGTCAGGCCAATCAGTTTTACATCAGGTACAGTTAGATAAACGCGTGAAGGATTTGGGGCTCGCGAGATGATAGTAATCGATGGTTAGAGACCTTGAATGACATGGCTCAAAATCGTTCGCAATGGCGTCGGTGCATTTATTCTGTGTTCTCTCAAATCCTAATCTTCTGGATTCTTCAACCCCTCTATTTTTGACTTTCTAAACTATTCTCACTGAATCATACTTCTTGAATAATAATCTTCTAATCCTAACCTCTCCGATTACTTCTAATACATTTACTACCTCTCCTACTATTTGATTTGAATTGACGATTATATCTCTCTTATGGTGTGGTATGGCGACATAACTGATGTACTTACGTACGACGAAGGTCTACGTTGCATCTGACTGACTCTGACTGCGTGAAGGATCCGTTTTTGTTCAGTTAAAGCCTTAGATCATGAGCGGCTCTATTCTCCATTAAAGTTTAACAGACTAACAGAATTTGAAAAATGATGAATATTCTTAATTCAGGACAAGAATTTTTTTAGAGAGATTTTGTCCCCATAAATTGAATGATTTATTTGTGAGATTTTTACTATCTTACTACACATTATTATCAGTAG